GGATAGGAAACAACACTGGAATTGTACAATTTAGGATGCTTCATTTTTAGTTTCTTTCTTCCTTTTCTTTTCTTTTCTTTTCTTTTCTTTGTTTTTTTTTTTAGGTTAGGAGGTTGTTTCAAATGCAAACGTGAGGTGCATGAAAATATTTCTTTTTAAAAGCAAAGGACTTTGCACTCAGTATTTTTTAACTTGAAAATGGATATTATAGAAAGGCAGTCCTTTCATGAGAAACTTCAATTAAATGACAGTTCATTTAGGAGGGCCAGTTTTAAGTTACTCTCATAATGATGGATTGTTAATTTAATTTGGCAGGTTTTACTGTTTCACTGTATGCTTGCTGCATGCCCTGGATTGACCTAAATTCTTTGGGGGACCCCAAGAAATATAAAATATGGCTGCTTATCTTCAGCCTTCTTGGGAGGTCATGACCCATGCATACAAAGTAATTGAAGAACAATGAAACATAGCATATGATTAGGTGTCAAAATGGTTGTTAACGAGACTAAGAGGTAAAAGAAATCAGAGAAGGGGATAATGAACTGGGCTAGAGTTTTTCATCACTAAAGGGAGACAGGGAGAAGCAAGAGTTAGTGCTTCACTTATATTAGATAGATCAAAACAACTCTGTAAGGGTATTACTATCCCCCATCTACAGATGAAAAAACTAAGGCCCAAGGATGTTAAGGAACTTGTACATGATCCACAGGTAGTAGGAAATGGAGTCAGAATTTAGAATTAGGTTTGCCTGTCTCCATAATTCCTTTTTGGAGGTTTTAAGCAAGAGGCCATGGCAGATAGGCTGTGGAGGATTCAGACATCTGCCAGGAGAATTAACTGTGTGACCATCATGGTCCCACTCAGCCTTGGGGCCCTGTGGTCTGGAAAGATTTCAAGAAGCAGGTGGGAGTTGTGCTCTCAGTTTTGGGGTAACTCTTTCTTATCTAGGAGAAGAGATGCCAGCCTTGTAGATGCAGATTTTCCTGAGTTGAATAGATTTTTACAAGTTTAGCAAAATCAAATGTGGTGATTGAGAAAAGAACAGAGTAACCCAGCATTTGTGACTGGTTTGGTGGGTCAACAAGAGAGAATGACAAAGATTATTGTCATCAAATAGCCTTTCCCGAGAGGGCCACATAGTCATCAAATTCCCTTTCCCTAAAGGGAAATCTGCTCATGGCCCACCAGGAATGGGGAGCCAGATATGACTGGGGCCAGCTGGGACTGAATTGGTCCCTGTCTTTTAGATTTGCATCAAAAGCACTTGATACCCCTGCTCAGGATTTCACAAAACTGCAGTCAGATAGCCAGGGCTGTATTCTCATCTGGAAGCTTCACTGGGAAAGATGACTTTTAAGATTATTCAGATGATTGACAAAATTCAGTTCCTTGCAGCCATAAGACTCATGGTGGCCTACTTCTTCAGTGTCAGTATACTTTTGGAGAGCATTTTATAATTTGCAAATGCTTTTTCATTCTAATGTGAAGCACAGATATGCTCCTCCTACTCTCATTTAAGGAGTCCACCATTCAAACAGTTGCCCAAACTGAAATTCTGAAAGTGACCCTTGATTCCTCTCAATTCCTCGCTTCATTAGCAAGTCGTATGGGCTACACCTCCAGAATAAATCCTGACTCCAATAACTAGTTTCCACTTCATAGTCACTACCATTGACCAAGCCACCACCATCTTATCTAGCCTAATGCAACTACTTTCTTGCTTTGCTGTTGTTGTTTGTTCTTGTTTTTTCTTTAGAGACAGTGTCTTCCTCTGTCACCCAGGTTGGAGTGCAGTGGCACAATCACAGCTCAGTGCAGCCCCAACCTCCCAGGCTCAAGCAATCTTCCCACCTTTGCCTCCCTTTGTAGCTGGGACCACAGATGCACACCACCACGCCCGACTACTTTTTTAAGTTTCCGAAGAGATAGGGTCTCACTACGTTGCCCAGACTGGCCTTGACCTCCTGGGCTCAAGTAATCCAACAATCTCAGCCTCCCCAAATGCTTAGATTACAGGTATAAGTCGCTGCGCCCAGCCTGCAACCACCTCCTTACTGCTCTCCCCACTTTCCCTCTAGTCCCCGCAAATCCATTCTCCATACAGCAGCCAGGGAAGTGTATAAAATATGAAAATAAGATAATCACTTTGGCTGCATGTGGTGGCCCGTGCCTGTAATTCCAGCACTTTGGAAGGCCGAGGCAGGTGGATCACCTGATGTCAGGAGTTCGAGACCAGCCTGGCCAACATAGTGAAACCCCATCTCTACTAAAAAAAAAAAAAAAGAAAAAAAAAATACAAAAAATTAGCTGGGCATGATGGCAGGTGCCTGTAATCCCAGCTACTCAAGAGGCTGAGACAGGAGAATAGCTTGAACTCAGGAGGCAGAGGTTGCAGTGAGCCAAGATCATGCCTCTGTGCTCCAGCCTGCGCAAGAGAGCAAAACTTTGTCTCAAAAAAAAAGTTATCACTTTCAAATTCAAAACCTTCCTCACAACTTATTGGGATTACAAAAAAATCAAATTTCAGTTGCCACCATGGGAGGGTGTGAGGAGCCACGGGGCTCTGGGGTGTGTCTGAAAGTGGGAGCAGAAAGGTTCAGGAAGCCAAACACATGGGTTTATTATGAAAATCAATTCAATTCATACAGGTAAAACTTGTAGCTCAGTGGTTGACGGAATTCACTGTCCCTAGACCTGCACATGGCTGGTTACTTTTCACTGTTCAGTTATCAGTTTGATGTCATCACTTTACAGAGAACATCTCTGGCTGCTTTTATGCAAAGTAACAACCAGCTCTCAACTTAAAATCGCCCTTCATCCCATCATTCAATTTCCTTTTTCTCATAGCACTTGTTACCGTCCAAAAATAACTTCTTCCTTCCTTCCCTTTCCCCTTTCCTCCTTCTCTTTCTGCCCCCGCTCTTTCTCTCCCCATTTACTTATATATCTATTTTCTTTCTCTTTCTTTCTCTTTTTTTTTTTTTGAGACGAAGTCTTCCCTCTTGTCGCCCAGGCTGGAGTGCAATGGCTATAATCTCAGCAACACTGCAACCTCCACCCTCCTGGGTTCAAGGTGATTCTCCTGCCTCAGCCCTCCCGAGTAGGCTGGGATTACAGGTTCCTGCCACACCACACCTGGCTAATTTATTTTTTATTTTTTTATTTTTCAGTAGAGACAGGGTTTCTCCATGTTGGCCAGGCTGGTTCTCGAACTTCTGGCCTCAGGCTATCTGCCTGCCTTGGCCTCCCAAAGTGCTGAATTACAGGTGTGAGCCACTGTTCCCGGGGTCGGGGGGTGCGGTCCGAAAAA